GTGTGTACACTGTGTGTACAAACTGTGTGTGTACACTGTGTGTGTGTGTGTACACTGTGTGTTGGCACAGTCGGGGGTACAGATGGTGCATCGGCCAGTCAACTGAGTTAGTCGACCCATGGCACCTGGGGGTCTACCCCGTGCACATAGCCTGGCACAAGCGCCATGGTGACGTGACCGCCACTTAGTGGCGAATGGCGGTTGTTGTTCTTGTTACTGTGTGTCCGGCAAAACAAGAGTTGGCACCTCAGCCAGCCATCTAATTGAGTAGCCATTACCAGATCATCAGCAGATGCAACAGGGCTGACCAGCAGGGAAACAGGTCTCTGCGGGGTGGGCTGGTAGGAACGAACAAATGAATGGCTATAATAAAATGAAATGGCGGGGGTACGATACGAAGGGAGAGTTTGAGGCCTAGTTCTAGGTTTTAGGCCTAGCTGTAGGCTTTAGGCCGCTGTGAGTTTAATTTTTAATTTAAATGTTTTAATTTAAAACTATCTCAGGGAATTATAAGGGAATGTTACACTTGTTTAGCCAGGAAAGCCTCACTGAGTCTAAAGGTTTTTGTAGGGTCCTGCCAAGTGTTTGCAGTAGGGGGCGATGTTGCTACACGTAATCGGACATCGGACGATATAATCTATTGTAGGCTGGTTCACTTCGTTCCTACCAGTATAATCCCTTAACGATAACCAGTCATCGATAAGCGTATTATTTTTAACTGCGACGAATCCAATTTATTTATACGGCCATTGTGAGCTTCTCAAACTACATTATTATTGAAGATGCTATGTGATGTGTAATAAACCCCATTGAGACGACATCGTGAATTGAGAATTCTTTATTCAGTTTCGTTCACAGCTTCCACCACATTCGTTCCTCCAGTTCCCTTGCTCCTTCACGCTGTTGGCTGACAGCGTGAGATTTCCGCGGCCCGCCACGTGGCAGGCTCCGGACTACGGCACCAGCCACGTGGCTTCTCCGCCCCTTTTAATCCCTGGCCCACGTGATGCCCCGCAGCCAATCCTCAGCCACACCCCTGGAACTTTCTCGAAGCTAATGTACGGCTCCAGGGCCACGCCCCTAACTCGACTCCCCATTGGTTGCGGGCTGAAGCCAGCAGAGCCAATCATCATCATCCAGGTGTAACCTCACATTACAAATGAAATGCATTGGGGCAGAGTGAATTTCTGTCACAAGCCGAGTTGAACAGGAAACTGGTTCCAACTCCTGGTCACGCACCTTTAGATAGGCCTGCCCAAAATCATAAAAATCCTCAACGAATGTGAGCAGAGGCAGAGACATCGAAATCAAGGAACCCAAAGCACCAAGCCTATTTAGGGTACCATAGGCCTGCTGTACTCGATCGACAGAAAATACAGCCGCCCCTTGAATATCGTAGGTTACGTTCTTGGAAAATGCCGCGCGACAGCTAAAAACGCGATATTCAATACTTAAGCCTTACCCAAGTAATGGCGTTAGGTAAACGTCAACTAAAATTTACATCACAATTGAAATACGTACTGTATTACAAATCAACTAAAAATTTAACAATTGAAATAAACATTGGGAAACCGTGTCTCATGCTTTTGATTACAGGTCTACCCAACACTTATGGTCACACATGCTGTCTGCTTCTACTCGACCTTGTCCGAAAAGTCCTCCCAAAACTCCACATCCACAAATGGATGTGATTTGTCTCGGGCTCCATTAGTGACCTGGAAGTCAAACCCTAGAGCCTTCACAGGTCACCTTCACGAATGGTGACGTTTCCCAGCTGCCATCTTTATTGGGTCCTTGCATCACAAACGATGGGCTTATGGAACTTCAAATTTCACACGTCAATCTCAGACTCTGCTCCTTGTAGACCTCCTTACACGTGTTTCAGTTTCAAGACAATTCAAAAGGCCTTCCAATTGTACATTAAGTGGTTTTTAATGTGTGTTCCCTGGCAGTTGTGAAGATTTGATTACTGTGTAAATGTGTAGTGACATAAGAAGGGAGGGGCTGCTGTAGGCTCTGGGTTCCCAGGTGGGTCCAGACGCGTAAGCCTCTGGGCGCCAGGCACTGGGTTCCCAGGGGGTCCAGACGCTTTTAAGCCTTTGGGCGCCAGGCGTTGGGTTCCCAGGCGCTTAAGCCTTTTTGGCGCCGCCAACGGGGGGGGGGGGGGGGGGGGCTGTGTGTGCTCTGTGGGATGTCTGGTGGCGCACACGGCCCCACCCCTCGTCGGACCAGGCATAAAAGGAGAGCTCCCTGGACGATCGGGGCCCAGTTGTAACTCAAGACCCAAGACCCACGACCAGCCATCTGAAGACCCTGGGATGCTGTGAGAGCCAGCGCTGGGACTCTGGAACTCCCGACGCTACGACCTTGTGAGGGCGAGTCCAGAGCGTAGCCAGAGTAGAGTATCTAGGCTGCGTAGCTAGGCTGTGTACCTAGGCTGTAACAGAGTATCAGGACTGTTGGAGTGTTGTATTGTAATAAAGAAGTTACATCTACAAGTGTCTCCGGAACCCGTTACATTTGGCGTCAGAGGTGGCAATGGAGACAAGAAGTAAGCCACGTACCTTCAGTCCTGACGGCGATGTTGAGGAGCAAGCAGCGACGGGGCAGCCAACTCGGGCCGACAACGACGCCGCACCGCCGGCTGAGCAGGCGTCCACCACACCTGCCGATCCTCCTCCAGCGTCGGGAGCAACAATGGAGGAAACGCTGCTTCGCCTCACCGAGCTGCTCCACGCCACCGTCTCCATCCTGGGCGAGATGCGTCGCTCACAGGCGGAGGCAGGAGGGAGAGAGGCGGCGCAGCGACCGCGCCATCCCGCCGGCTCCAACACAAACACATCCGGGTGTTCCCAGGGGGTCCAGACGCTTTTAAGCCTTTGGGCGCCAGGCGTTGGGTTCCCAGGCGCTTAAGCCTTTTTGGCGCCGCCAACGGGGGGGGGCGGGCTGTGTGTGCTCTGTGGGATGTCTGGTGGCGCACACGGCCCCACCCCTCGTCGGACCAGGCATAAAAGGAGAGCTCCCTGGACGATCGGGGCCCAGTTGTAACTCAAGACCCAAGACCCACGACCAGCCATCTGAAGACCCTGGGATGCTGTGAGAGCCAGCGCTGGGACTCTGGAACTCTCGACGCTACGACCTTGTGAGGGCGAGTCCAGAGCGTAGCCAGAGTAGTGTATCTAGGCTGTGTAGCTAGGCTGTGTACCTAGGCTGTAACAGAGTATCAGGACTGTTGGAGTGTTGTATTGTAATAAAGAAGTTACATCTACAAGTGTCTCCGGAACCCGTTACAAATGCATTCCAAGACAGTGCAGTCGTTAGATTCCGTGGAGGCGAGTTCTGCTCTTGGTGACATCACAAGCCAGAGAGAGGGGGAGGCCCTGACGTAACCCACTCGTTAATTTGAGGTGACGTCTTCAGAGGGAGCTTCTACATATTTAAATATGTGAAAAACAAGGTGGGATATCAATGGACACATATATAAAGTTTTATTTAAATGAAAGTAAAAATTTAATAAAACCTAGGCTAGAATACAAATCAGTAACAAAAATCCACGATGCCATCAAATGTGCTCTTTAAAGTACCTCCTTGCGAAAAAAACAGATCGGCAGACATCTTTCATTCAACGTTCTCTACACGAAACAAAGGAATGTCTTACACAAACTATAAATACCATGGCCTTCTAGGAATGCATGTGTTCAGTACAAGCCACCTGTGGACTGGTTTTGGTGTACAATGTCTCAACAACAGTCGGGCTTTGCTTCAACTGATGTTCATCAGCAAGGTCCATTTCAAGTCTCAGTTCGACAAAATTTATATACGTAGTACAAAATGATAATTAGTGTTGTTGAGAATGTATCTCCTATACGTAACTTATAAGTGGCATACCTTAACTGATGAATGATCCGACTATGCTCCCGATTTCAAAGACAATGAGTTGCCCCAGTCAGATGCGTCCTGATTCACAAAAATACCCTTTGACTCGTATCACAAAAATAACAGCTCTCACTTGAGTTTTTGTACAGGTTACCACCAAAACAGATACTTTGTCCTGACAGCACATATTCCATGTTTGACATTAATACACAAAATGTTGTATGTACGTACAAAATCAGACGGGTATTCTTTCAATTACGATTCAAAATAATCAAAGGGCACATTGGCAACATTTTATTACTATACTGAAATGTACTGCGTCACGTTGCAACGTATTTACAAGTTGATCTGACGAGATGAGGCCTATATGTGCAGCACTCTCATAGAGGGAAGCCAAGTAGTAGTACATTCTCTATTTGTTGCAGAGGTTCAAGGTTCAAATCCGACTGGTATATCAATCATCGCCCCCGACTTACAAACTCATATCCACATGCAAGCCAGTGAACGGTCACCTTGTGGCACACAGGGGCAGATGCCCATTATGGGCACCCTTCGAGTGTCTAAGATGAGATATGTTAGAAAACACATGAGTCGCTCCCGGATTCGAGAACGACCCAACCCACAGATCCACAAATACTGGCCACTCTTACACTGCAGTTTGAACCTAGAAATTGAGTGTTCAACTTCACATTATATTCATTAGAAAGGCCTGTGACAAAGGTGCATCCATTGGAGCTTAATTGTCTCAAGCTTGCACATCTACCTGGTCTCCATTTGACTTTGTATTGTCTAAGAAGTCCACCCACACCTCCACATCCACAAACTCCTGGGAGTTGCCTCGCACTGCCTCACAGTCAGAATTTAGTTCCTGCTTCACACTGCCTCCATCTATGTGAAGGTCCGATTTTGGAGTTGAATCTTCAAATTTAACCTTCACTTCTACGCTCTTCAATGTTACTTCTTCACATTTCACTTTCGCCTCTTCATATTTCACCTTGATACCTTTCAAAGTGTCCAGGCTGGAATTGTCTACTGGTTCTTGTTTCATGAACAATGGGGTCATTGCAGCACTTTGACTTTCACAAGCTGATTTCAGATTACACTTCTTGTGGATTTTCTGATGCGTGTGTGATCTCTGGTGTTTTTTAAGATTTGATGAATGTGCAAACGCTTTCCCACAAACACTGCAATTGAAGGGTTTATCTCCTGTGTGTGTTCTCTGGTGGGTCTGAAGATATGATGACAATGAAAATGCCTTCTCACACACAGTGCACTTGAAGGGTTTCTCTCCTGTGTGTGTTCTCTGGTGTGATTTAAGAATAAACGACCATGCAAACGCCTTCTCACACACAGTGCACTTGAAAGGTTTCTCTCCTGTGTGTGTTCTCTGGTGTGATTTAAGAATTGATGACTTTGCAAACGCCTTCCCACACACACTGCACTTAAAAGGTTTCTCTCCTGTGTGTGTTCTTTGGTGGGTCTGAAGATATGACGACCATGAAAATGCCTTCTCACACACAGTGCACTTGAAGGGTTTCTCTCCTGTGTGTGTTCTCTGGTGTCTTTGAAGATGTGATGACTGTGCAAACGCCTTCTCACACACAGTGCACTTGAAAGGTTTCTTTCCTGTGTGTGTTCTCTGGTGTCTTTGAAGATCTGGTGACCGTGCAAACGCCTTCTCACACACAGTGCACTTGAAAGGTTTCTTTCCTGTGTGTGTTCTCTGGTGTTGTTTAAAAGTAGATGAATCAAAAAATGCTTTCCCACACACATTGCACTTGAAGGGCTTATCTCCTGTGTGTGTTCTCTGGTGGGTTTGAAGATTTGATGACTTTGCAAACGCCTTCCCACACAGAGTGCACTTAAAAGGTTTCTCTCCTGTGTGTGTTTTCTGGTGGATCTTAAGATTTGATGACATTGCAAACGCCTTCCCACACAGAGTGCACTTAAAAGGTTTCTCTCCTGTGTGTGTTCTCTGGTGTGATTTAAGAATGGATGACTGTGCAAACACCTTTTTACACACACTGCACTTAAAAGGTTTCTCTCCTGTGTGTGTTCTCTGGTGGGTCTTAAGATTTGATGACTTTGCAAATGCCTTCCCACACAGAGTGCACTTAAAAGGTTTATCTCCTGTGTGTGTTCTCTGGTGTGATTTAAGAATGGACGCCTGTGCAAACGCCTTCTCACACACAGTGCACTTGAAAGGTTTCTCTCCTGTGTGTGTTCTCTGGTGTGATTTAAGAATTGATGACTTTGCAAACGCCTTCCCACACACACTGCACTTAAAAGGTTTCTCTCCTGTGTGTGTTCTCTGGTGTTGTTTAAGAGTAGATGAATCAAAAAATGCCTTTCCACACACACTGCACTTGAAGGGGTTATCTCCTGTGTGTGTTCTCTGGTGGGTCTGAAGAGTTGATGACTTTGCAAACGCCTTCCCACACACACTGAACTTAAAAGGTTTCTCTCCTGTGTGTGTTCTTTGGTGGGTCTGAAGATATGACGACCATGAAAATGCCTTCTCACACACAGTGCACTTGAAGGGTTTCTCTCCTGTGTGTGTTCTCTGGTGTCTTTGAAGATGTGATGACTGTGCAAACGCCTTCTCACACACAGTGCACTTGAAAGGTTTCTTTCCTGTGTGTGTTCTCTGGTGGGTCTTAAGATTTGATGACTTTGCAAACGCCTTCCCACACAGAGTGCACTTAAAAGGTTTCTCTCCTGTGTGTGTTCTCTGGTGCTGTGTCAATTTTCCAGTACAATCCGTGCTGTTTGCATGCTGGTCGCATTGTTTCCTTCTTGTACTGAGCTGCGCTGAGTGCCTTTGCTCCATCAGGCCAATTCTGCAGAGCGTCAGCTGCAAACAGAAAAGCATGTCCGCACCATCTATGTGAGTATTGAGGCACAGAGGAATGCATATATACACAGTCACACATGACTTACACATCTATACATATTCATATTTTCATGATATAGTGAAAGAGATTCCCCAATTCATCACACGGGCTGTTAAGGCACACAATGCGAGGGCAAATGGTCATTAATATGCCTGGACACCCTCGTGTCTTCAAAATTAATGTTTACCAAAAACTCCAAGCACACAATTTCGGTTGTCTAGCTACGACAGGAATATTTAAGAAAAATTTGTTAACATAGCAAAGGCTGTTGAAAATAATACTATTTGTATTATGCAGAAATGTATAAATTAATGTTCATTTGCGACTTAGAGGTGTGAAGCCAGGCTCAGATGAGCTTGAATGCGAGGATGAACAGATTTAACTTCAGCTGCATATGTACTGTGTTAATTTCCTGACTGTTTCCATTCTTATGAAAATTTCCAAAGCAAAACTAAAATAAACTATTATTATGATTTAACCTCGATGTTCAATCGAGTCAATATACTTGACAGCAAATACAAACTTTACATGTTCATACACTTGCATGGTAAAAAGGTGGTTACATTTTGACTTAAAACTTTCGTGACTGCAGGAATTAATATTCTTTGGTTATTTCGGTAAAGTCACGTAGATAGAAAATAATAATACAAATAAAGTGAATAAAAGAAAAAAAAACGACTAATGTAGACTGTAGCCTGGTTCTTAACCTCGGTGAGCATACTGGCAGTCTATAATGTAGACTGTAGACTGGTTCTTAACCTCGGTGAGTGTATTGGCAGTCTATAATGTAGACTATTGCCTGTTTTTTTGACGAGACCTTTGCAATGGACTAGACCTTTGCAATGGACACTCACAGCTTTGTATGTAAAAAAGTCCAGGCAGCTTCCACATAGTGTTCCAGAGCCTAATGAAAGAATGCTGCTAGACTAATTTGAAGTGAGACTTTAGATGCCAAACCAGAGCTGGTCGTGAACACATTAACCAGTTATAGGAGCTCCTCCACCACGTGTAGAACGACCTGATTATTCATGGAGAGCTGAGCAGGTGCAGTGTTGAATGACATTAAATTCCCAGGGAGGTGTTCTTTGGGTCTTTCGGTAAAGTCACGTCACTTAACCGAAAGACCCAAAGAATATGAATTCCTGCAGTTACGAAAGCTTTAAGTCAAGATTTTCCCAGGGAGGTGATCTTTTGTAGAACATATGCAAGGCCCCATTTTGTCATGGAATTCTCCAGGTACAGAACACGATTCTCCAACTCAATATCATTGAGTAGCCATGACCAGATCATCAACATGCGTAACATGGTTGACCAGCAGGGGACAATCCTTTGACTATAACCAGGCATCGATTAGCGTATCATTGTTACTGTATGAAATGCATTTTTTATAAGGCCATTGCGAGCTTCTCAAAACACAATTATTTGAAAATGCTACGTAATGTAATGCATGGGGCCAGAGGGAATTTCAGCCACAAGCCAAATTGAACAGGAAAGGGATCCGACTCCTGGTCACGCAGCTTTAGATGGGCCATCCAAAAATCATAAAAATCCTCAACGAATGTGAGCAGAGGCGGAGATATCGAAAACAAAAAACAATCCAAAACCCCAAGCCTCTTTATGGTATTATAGGCCGTAATTACACCAAGAAAGCAGAAATCTAGTTTCTGCTGAAATCCGTACTCCTGTGCTATAGCTGATGGACAGAAAATACAGCAGCCCCTTGAATAGCGCGGAGGTTACATTCTTGAAAAGTGCCGTGCGAAAGCTAAAATGCCAATGTCCAATACTAAAGCCTTACCTAAATAATGGGGTGAGGTTAACGGCAACTAAAATATACATCACAATTTAAATAAGTACTGTACTGTATTCCCAATAAACTAAATTACTGAAATAAATGTGGAGAAACCGTATACAAAACATTCCAAGATGAGTATAAATGTATATAAATGAAGCACTCTGTGTGTTTTTTTGAGAACCAAATTGCGCCAACAATTTGAAACATACACACATCAAAAATTCCATGCGTACTCAAGGGAAAGTTATTATGTTTTTCACACAATTTTTAGCTTACCTGTTCACCTTCAACACCTGTAACACCTGTATACTCCAACACCCCGCTGCTGCTATATTTTTCTCATTTACCACATTATCCTTACATATTATCAGGCCTGCATTTTTGCCACAAAATTCATTAACTTCCGGCTCCTTACTGTCCTTTCTACACACGCACGGCTCACCTCTAATATACTGCAATATTTTATCATGGGACCTTTGCCAGTACCAAAATATGAGAATAGGTTTTCCCCATTTTTCTGGCAACGAAACAGGTGTTAAGATGTTAAAACACCAAACTGAAACCTTTTACAAGGAATCATGTGTGCATTAACCACAATACTTGTGGTCAGAATGCAAACAAAAACACTCTGATAGAAAATGCATGGTCTGCTGCTGAGGCAGACTGTTGTAAAAGTTTGAAATGGGTGTAGCCCAAGGGTCATAAAGAAGTGGCCGGGGGCTAGTGATGTTAATGTAATAAATTAGCATGTTAATGTGAAATCGAATAGTGGTGCAATCCAAAGCGGCCTCCCTACAAGACAGAGAAGGAGCGAGGCTCTACCTGGGTAAACAACAACTACCACCACGACAACAATAACCACGATGTGAACTTCTCACTTCAGATCTCCGTGAGCGCACACGAAAATAAATCACGCTTGCGAACACAGAGCGCACGCCCGGGATACACTGCCGAGATCATCGATGACCTCGCCACCGAGAAAGTTCAGCAGTATCTGACAAGCACAACGGGGTGGCAGCCAGATGCGAACTGCCCATATCCCCCATCTAACACCGTTGCCGAGCACGCCCACGTGTGCGTGTGAGAGATTTGCTCGCGAGCGTGCGGAATTCCGACGGCTGGAACGGGATAGCACCATTGCAAGTCTTCTTCCAGAGGAGGAGGTGAGGGGGGGGGACGAGGGAGCCTCCGGGATCCCGTGAGACAACCCCAGGATGGGTGGCAGGGATACAGACCAGCATAGGAGATATCACAGGCCAGGAGACCCAAGTACGCGAGGAGGTAACCCAAGTATGCGGGAAGGTAACCCAAGTACACCTGAATGTGACCAAGCTGCAGTCCACAGCGGAGATAGTCCAGTCCGAGGTGGGAGGGCTACGCTCCATGGTCGGGGGGCTAACCAGGCGAGTATCTCAATAAGAGGCAGAACTCGAACAAATGCGCACTGGGATGGTAAGGGGGAGTGGGCAAGGGGCGTCTTATGGAGCCACCACCCTTCCCCGTGCGTGCTATCTATGCGACCAATGGGGGCATCTCGTGAGAGACTGTCACCAGATCGCCCGTGCGAGAGAAGCACCAGGGTTAAACACCAAGGCCTCCTCTTCTTGGTTCTTTCGGTAAAGTCACGTAGAAGGGAAGTAATAAAATAATAAAAATAAAACATAATAAAATAATTCTCACGACGTTTCGGCCACAACGCAAGCAGCCGTCCTCAGGTGAAGAACATGTCTGTCGATAAGACAGAGTCTAAATGACACGTCTTAGGCTTGGAGTGTCTATTTAAGCTGTGAAGGAGGAGGAAGAGAGCCTTGACAAAAGAATTTGCATTTGAAGAGGAATTTAGCATATTTATGGGAAATTCAGGAATGCGAAGTGCTAATTGTGAAATGCGTGGGAGGTGGGCGGGGGGTTTTCAAAGTCATATTATGCCCATGCATTATGCAGGATTAACAGCATCAAAGGGAGGGGGCAGGAGCAGCACCAACAAAGGAAAGGAATGTGAATAGTATGCAGCTGCAGCAACCAAACAACCACGTAAAAAACTAAAGTATAAACTTCATAGTATCATCAGTATACTAAATATACTCTCTAATAAGCTGAGCTACTAACAGTAAGTAATACATTACAATTCTATGTCGCAAAAAATATAATATGCTTCCAGCTAAACTTTTTTCCTTACATCAAACAGGTCTAACCCGTACTATATGCTGCCATAGACAAACTCAACATTAAATTATATACTGTATTACCCCCCGCCCACCTCCCACGCATTTCACAATTAGCACTATTCGCATTCCTGCATTTCCCATAAATATGCTAAATTCCTCTTCAAATGCAAATTCTTTTGTCAAGGCTCTCTTCCTCCTCCCTCACAGCTTAAATAGACACTCCAAGCCTAAGACGTGTCATTTAGACTCTGTCTTATCGACAGACATGTTCTTCACCTGAGGACGGCTGCTTGCGTTGTGGCCGAAACGTCGTGAGAATTATTTTATTATGTTTTATTTGTATTATTTTATTACTTCCCTTCTACGTGACTTTACCGAAAGAACCAAGAAGATGAATCCCTGCAGTCACGAAAGCTTTAAATCGAAACCAAGGCCTCCCTAAAGAGGTTGACCACGGAGGGGTGCAATTGACGTGGCCCCAACACAAATAAACTGACGTGATAATGGTGAGCGAATGACCCCCACGCAGATGCCGACAACAACACCCCAGAATGCGGCGACTGCGGGTGACTGGCTGTGGGAGCTGGTGGCACGAATAATGGGGGCCACGTCGCTCGTGGAAGGGCAGGTGAACAGGTGGCGTACCCAGATTCTGCTGGACACGGGGGCAGTAACGTCACTCGTGAGTGCAACACACGGCAGCGTGGTCGGGGTTGACGTGGGCCGCCTACAGGCCCCGGATCGTGCGCTGCAAACTGCAAGTGGAAGTGGGATGGGACTGCTGGGGAGGGTCACCCTTAAGGGTCGCCTCGGACACCAGGTGTGTAACCAGGAGTTATACGTGTCGAGCGTGTTATGCCACGAGTGTATTGCAGGTACCGACCTCCTGGGAAAGTTGGGGCTCAGCGTGCAGCCACCGTGGAGGGCAGCGGGGAGCGGATTCCTTTCTTGGGACAAGAGCCGGGTTGCCCTCGCTTCAAGCCCGTGGCCGCTATCCTGGCGTCGGCCGTCACCGTCGGCATTGGTGTTCCACTGGGTTTTCCGTTTTTCTTCCAAACCTAAACTCAAAATATATTTGGTGGTGGTCAAACAGTCGAATGCAGGACCCTCCTGAAACATAATCTTTAACTGCTAAATGAGAAATTAAATTGAAAAACCCTCAAACACAGTACAATATTTTTTATTTTACCAGGTGAGGCCATCTGAGCTGCATAGCTCTTTTTCAGAATCGACCTGGACACAAATGATAGCTCAACTTAGTGGGTTATAATATGGAAATGTATTGCAGCAAAATTCTCAAAACGCATGTTTCTAAATGTGGAGAAAAATCAATGCCACTACAGGGAGAGAAATAAAAATTAAAAAAATGTAAACTGCAATTATAAATGCGTCAGGGTTGGAATCGAACCCACGCACGCAGAGCACGCTCAAGGAGTACACTAACACAAATGAGTACACTCGCTCACTCGGATTATTTTTTCTCTGGGTCCTTCGATTTTCCCCTCCACATTTAGTAACATGCATTTAGATTATTTGGCTGCTACAATCTTCCACGTGAAAAGCCATTTCGTTGAGCTATCATCTATGGCCAGGTGGCTTCTGACAAAGATCTAACAGCTCTGTGAGCCTTGATTGGTAATATAAAAATAGTTGACACCATTGGAATCTCATTTGCCATAAAAAAATATAATTGTATTTTTTTACCCTTTTATCTGGCAACAAAACTGACTCGTTTTTTTTACGAGGAATCATGTTTGCATAGACCACAATACCTGCAGTGATAATGCAAACAAAAAACATAACTCTGATAATGTATGCACTGTCCTTAAAGTAGATTGGTCCACACCCGAGACGGCTTTCCTTAGAGCCTAGTCTCACATGGTGTTGGACCAGATGACGCCAAAAGGCGCACAACTCAAAGACAATGCACCATCAGAGAGAGAGAGACTAGGCTCTAAGGAACGCTGTCTCGGGTGTGGACCAATCAACTTCAAGGACAGTGCATACATTATCAGAGTTATGTTTTTTGTTTGCATTATGACTGCAGGTATTGTGGTCTATGCAAACATGATTCCTCGTAAAAAAAGGAGTCAGTTTTGTTGCCAGATAAAAGGGTAAAAAAAACAATTATCATTAAAATAGTTGTTCATCGGTCTAAAGGGTGCATCAGCAAAACCAACCCGGCAGAACGCTCCTGAATTGGAGTGCTGAGACTCATTGTGGTCATGTACTCGAGTGTGCACCATGGTGGCTGGGAGATGTTAACTGCCTCTCCTGGAATACAGCAGGTGGTGGGTTCGATCGCGACCCCTCCTGTATATTTGGAGTTTGCGTGTCTCTCTCTCTCCCAGTGGTCGCGTGGATTTTCCTCCGGATCCTCAGGGTTTTCCCCTCCACATTAAGAGTCAACATCACCACGCGTTTAGAGTATTTGACCGACAGACATTTCCACACGTTGATAAGCCACTTTGTTGTGGGCTGGTCGCTTCTGAAAACAAGAGCAGTATAGCAGCTCAAGTGGGCTTGGCCTGGTAGGAAAATAAAAAAAACGAAATACTTAAAAGAAACAAAGTTTCAGAGTAGTGAGCCAGATGAAGACAAATTAAACTTGAGCAGAGAATTAAAGCAAATACAATCAGGCGAGGGCAGGAGGCAAGGCCCCGCATGGCTAGGCCCCGCGTTGTAATGTTCCAGCCTGGACATCGATTCCATCCTCGCTGCTACTCAATTGATATCCCTACGAGAGGAGCGAGGCTCTACCTGGGTAAACAACAACAACAACCACCACAACAACAACAACCACCACGATTTCAACGTCTCACCTCGGATCTCAGTGAGCGCGCGCGCGGAGACCGGCAGCTTCCTGGTGTCTCGTGACGTCACGCGGCAGCAGGTGACATGACGTCACTAGCGGGGTACACCTCCCCCTCACGCCGATGAGGTAATGCAGTGGTGACGTCAGAGAGCGGGGTTACAGTTGAAGTTCATTAGGATTCCTATTCCATTGATCCCTCTATTGAACATTGACCCTTTGGGTGCGCGAGCTCAACAACGTGAACATTCTATGGGGACCTCAGGTGTCAGTTTTGTTGCCAGATAGAAGGGTAAAGAACCAATTATCAACGTGAACATTGTGTGTACAAACTGTGTATACACTGTGTGTGTGTGTACAAACTGTGTATACACTGTGTGTGTGTACACACTGTGTATACAGTGTGTGTGTGTACAAACTGTGTATACAGTGTGTGTGTGTACAAACTGTGTATACAGTGTGTGTGTGTACAAACTGTGTATACAGTGTGTGTGTGTACAAACTGTGTATACAGTGTGTGTGTGTACAAACTGTGTAAACAGTGTGTGTGTGTACAAACTGTGTATACAGTGTGTTTGTGTACAAACTGTGTATACAGTGTGTGTGTGTACAAACTGTGTATACAGTGTGTGTGTGTACAAACTGTGTATACAGTGTGTGTGTGTACAAACTGTGTAAACAGTGTGTGTGTGTACAAACTGTGTATACAGTGTGTTTGTGTACAAACTGTGTATACAGTGTGTGTGTGTACAAACTGTGTATACAGTGTGTGTGTGTACAAACTGTGTATACACTGTGTGTGTGTACAAACTGTGTATACAGTGTGTGTGTGTACAAACTGTGTATACAGTGTGTGTGTGTACAAACTGTGTATACAGTGTGTGTGTGTACAAACTGTGTATACAGTGTGTGTGTGTACAAACTGTGTATACAGTGTGTGTGTGTACAAACTGTGTAAACAGTGTGTGTGTGTACAAACTGTGTATACAGTGTGTTTGTGTACAAACTGTGTATACAGTGTGTGTGTGTACAAACTGTGTATACAGTGTGTGTGTGTACAAACTGTGTATACACTGTGTGTGTACAAACTGTGTGTATAGTGTGTGTGTGTACAAACTGTGTATACAGTGTGTGTGTACAAACTGTGTATACAGTGTGTGTGTGTACAAACTGTGTATACAGTGTGTGTGTGTACAAACTGTGTATACAGTGTGTGTGTGTACAAACTGTGTATACAGTGTGTGTACAAACTGTGTATACAGTGTGTGTGTGTACAAACTGTGTATACACTGTGTGTGTGTACAAACTGTGTATACAGTGTGTGTGTGTACAAACTGTGTATACAGTGTGTGTGTGTACAAACTGTGTATACAGTGTGTGTGTGTACAAACTGTGTATACAGTGTGTGTGTGTACAAACTGTGTAAACACTGTGTGTGTGTACAAACTGTGTATACACTGTGTGTGTGTACAAACTGTGTATACAGTGTGTGTGTGTACAAACTGTGTATACACTGTGTGTGTGTACAAACTGTGTATACAGTGTGTGTGTGTACAAACTGTGTAAACAGTGTGTGGGGCCGTCCATGAATGGCGTCACGCAACTGGGGAGGGGACGGTCAGACATTTGTGACGATTTGTGACGATGGGGGGGGTGTGATAAATGTGACGTCACATCAAAATGCGCAACTTAAATAAATATGGACAACACGTTCGACTTAATTAAATAGACTTTTTAATAAATGTTTTCTCCTACAACATCAGAGTGTAGCGCCACATTAAATACGCACTGCAATGACAATAGTTTAAATCGATTTGAAGCATGTTTTTTTTGGGGGGGGAGGGTGGGTAGAGCTTTGTGACGTCATATTTGAGGGGGGGGTCTGACTTTTTATGACGTCGTGTGACGAAGGGGGGGGGGTCAAAATCGTCCAAAATCGCGTGACGTCATTTATGGACGGCCCCTGTATACAAACTGTGTACACACACACGGTGCGCGCGCACACCGTGTGTGTGTACACTGTTGGCACAGTAGGGGGCACAGGTGGTGCATCGGCCAGTCATCTCAGTTGAACCATGGCACATGAGTCTGCCCTGTGACCTCCTGCCGGCTGGAGTTCGACACTTCACGTGGCCTTAACGTGCACATAGCCTGGCACAAGCGCCATGGTGACTTCACCACCACGTATTGGCGAATGGCAGTCATTGTTTTTGTTAGTGTGTTTGTGTATACAGTGTATGTGCAGTGTGTATGCTGTATATACATTGTGTGTACACAATACGTCTACACTGCGTATGTGTACAGTGTTTGGGTGGTCCGAATCAGTCGGGCGGCATTATCTTTTCATCAGCTCTGCAATGCTGTGTGGAAGCTACCTGGCCTGTCGCTCTGCATGAAGCTCCGGGTCTTCTCGGCAACAGTCATGCCCTCCAATCTGTAAGAATGTGAAACGTGCACCCCTCTAAATGGAACATCTGCGCTGGTTAGAAACACTGGCTGGCATGCCTACACTCAGATTGAGGGAAGCCAAGTGGTAGCGCATTCTCGATTTATTGCAGAGGTTCAAGGTTCAAATCCGACAGGCACCCCTGGCTACTCCAGTAACATCAACCAAAATATGCACCGTCTGCTTAAAGAGTGGATGTAAAACATACTATTGTGTCATTAAAAACACATAGGTCTTTGCATGTTGGTGTCATTGAGATTACACATCAATTATCGCCCCTGACTGCCAGACTCATGCCCACATGCAGGCTGGTGCTGGGCCACCTTATGCCACACAGAGGTAGCTGCCACTTAGGGGTGCTCTTCGAGTGTTTGTGATGAGATATGATACAAAACTCCGAATTGCTGAGGCAATTAAGCAAGTTTAACACGTAGGCTGTCGCGACCAACATCATCCATAAGATTTTTTTTGGGTCACGTAAATAGAAATTCGCTCTCTCTAGTCGTCTCGCCTAGCCTAAATCCCAACCCTGACCGTGTAACACCGATGGCGCTGACCGAGACAGTCAACAACTATCCGGCCGCACAATATCTAGCGAAGATGACAGCGACGACGACACGAGCACACTCACAGCACAGGCAGCGCTGAGCTCCCGCTATCAGCTGCTTTTATTGTACCCAGCGTGGCCTGGCTCCACATTGGTCGCGCCTTTCTTCTCGAACCCTCTAGCAGGTTCCAGGGGCTTCCAGATAGGGTCTTCCATGACCCTTGCCCCAGTTCCTCCACCCTGCCGACACATTCGTGTATATGCTCACCGGCGTGTGTATTATTTGTCTACCGCAGTTGCCGTTGCAACTGCAACCGGTGGACAGGAAGAGCAACCCCAACACCGAGAAACACCACCAACACGAAAAAACAATTTACCCCAAAAAAAAAAAACCTTGGTTGCAACACTTCCCGCGACCATACAGCACAACCGCAGCGTCTCCCGCGAACCATAACCACTTAGTGCAACTCCAGCGCCCCCCGCGGACCGCCAACAAAAATAACCCGCGGCACCCCCGCACAAACCCGCCAACACGCAGCGCAACTGCGGCATGGGCAAGAACCCCATCAGGGACCACATAACCGTGACGCCCCCCCCCCCCCCCCACGAGAACCGATAACACAAGCCAAACAATATACACACCCCCCCGAATCCCACCTTACAAGGGAGAGTCCCGCCTTTACCAGAACATAGCTCACGTGAGCCGGCACTCGACACTGGTCACCCCCACCTTGGCAGGGTTTTGCATTCCTTGGGATTCTAGGAATGGGAACAAAAAAACAATGGCCTAAGGGCACGGCCCCTCCCTGAAATCCGCAGTAGCATCTAATCAGATCCAGCCCCTGACACTTTGCACACGGCAGTAATGGAAAGCATCAGATTCTCGGATCCGGTGCAGCTTGGGAAAATGTTGCCGGCAGGTCAGAGTGCTACGGTGGCACTGCCGGCACCCTGCTGACACCCCGGCATTCTATGGCGATGTGGCTCGGCTGACCACACCTGAAACACTTGGCCGTGGGACCCCAGGGCGAAGGGGGCTTCCCCGGTTGCCAACGCACCCGCGGGGGCCTTCTCCCGTGCGTCCCCAGGCCGCACACCACAGCCACCAAGTCCTCCTCCCGCCACGGCCAAGCCTCCACTTTGGCCAATGCTGGCGGGCCTCGTGGCCCTGAATTTCCCGGGCC